GCCTGTCTCGTGTGCAACGCTTTTTCTTGAACATTTAGCTCTGTGTCTACTGCATGGCTGTGGAGGGAAAGAGGGAGGAGAGAGAAGAAGGGAGGGAGGGAAGTAGAGATGGAGAAAAGAAGGAAGAAAGGAAGGAAGAAATGAAGGAAGTTGAGAGCACGCCCAGTGGGTGGCACCTGGCAGGGCCCTGGCATTGGTCCCTCTGAGCAGCTGACAGCCAAGCATCACGGTGACTCAGGAAACTGAAGGCTCAGGCGTGGCGCTGGGCGTGGTGCGGTCCCCAACAAGCACGGCCAAAGGAACTGGAAAAGCCACAGTTTCACTCGACTGCTGTCCTGCTGCAGCCACAGGGGGAGCCCAGAGGAGCACAGCTGGTGGCCAGCCACCAGGCCAGGTTTATGTCTCGCCAGGTGAGCGGCCTCCCTCCTGGGAAATTGCCTTCCTCCAATCCAGTGGTTCTCAGTGCCACCCTGGCAGCTCTTAGGATCATGTGTACTGCCTGAGGCTCCCCCTGCGGGGAGGGGTCTGACAGACTTGGGACAGATCTGAGTAGTTTGTAGAGCTACCTCAGTGAAGTGGGGCCACTTGAGGCAAGTTTGACATTTGTGTTCAAGGTTAGAAAACAAAAAAAGGAAGAAGGTTTGCACCAAAGGAATAGACAGATAAAGGTGTGAGATGAAGGGTGTATCACTAACTATATGGGGACATCCATCAGGCCGTGCAATTTTAGTATCTCACCATTTGGTCAATTATACCTCAATCGAGCTGAGAGAAGTTTCCTGAAGCCTGGTTCTGCGACATGCGTATAACAAAGCACAAAGAGTCCCATGGCACAAAATAAATGTTCAGTCATTGTCACTTAAATATGTATGTACATATCTACATTACATATGCTGCGTTGTTCACGCAAAAGAATGAGAATAAAGATGCAAACAAAAGAGGTCAGCAGAAAAAAGTGTGTGTACCATGATTGTAAGGGAGGGGGTCAAAAAGAAGGAAATGGAAGAAAAAAAATGAACAGGGAAGAGCAAAGGACAGAGAATCAAGGATTGACCGGGGCTGTGTCTGAGGGTAAGTTCCACCATGCGTGAGGGCAGTGAGGTCCTGCAGGCGGTGGAAAAGGGGAAGTGTTTCCGGGCTCTCAAATCAGGAACAGAGAGATCAGGTGGGCTCTGTATGAGCTGCAGTGAATCGTGTGTGTGTGTGTGTGTGTGTGTGTGTGTGTGTGCGCGCACCTGGGGCAGGGGGTCTGTGAGTGCACAGGGGAGCGACCAGGGGCCTCTGGGTGAGTGGCAGGGACAGAGGAGAACATAGGCTCTGAGGGAACCAGATGTGCCTCGTGCCCAGCTCTGCGCTGGGTCCTCTGAGGTCCATGGGGAAGTTAGGACACAGAGAGTCTTTCTCAAAGAGCCCAAGTCCTGCACTCAAGATGTGACCAGAAGGTAGGAGAGTACCTTGGCTCTGTTCTTGGGAAGATCTGAAAGCAAGATGAAGTATATTTTAAGCAGCTCCCTAAAGTCCAGTTAGCCAGGCATCCATCATGCAAGTGAGACAGGTCAGGGAAAGGTGGACGGGCCTTGGGATCTGTGGAAAGGCGTGAGCGATCCAGTGTTCCCATGTAGGAACATGGGCCCTCTTGGCTTAACCTTCAATTTTTTCTGAAGCAGCCACAGATATGGATTTTTATGCAAAATCTTTTAAATGTTGGCAATTAATATCACAAGTTGGGGGCTATATTCCACCCATGAGTTTCCAATCCATGTCTGTGGTTTAGATGCAAGAACCAGTTTGACTCATTTAATGAACTATGGGGATGAGGCTGTCCTAACCTCAGACACCATGATTCCTGTCCCTTTGCAGGCACAGAGGGTCCGTCGCTAACCTAAATTCACACGGTCCATTTGTCACCCACTGGTGACAAATGCACAAGTTGCAAATCCCTTGAAGAATGTTGTTTGTACTACACCTTATTACAGTAGTTACCCATTGCAGCATAACAGATGACCCCAACACCTACTGGCTGAAAACAACACAGAAGACCTGACCGTTTCTGTGGCTGTGGATGCCATGCCTGACTCAGGTTGCTTCTGGATAAAGGCGCTCATGAAGTTGCAGTCATGCTATTGGCCAGGCCTGGGACCCACGTCTCTACTCACTCACGTGGTTGGTGCAGGAGTCAGTCCCTCCCTGGCCGTTGGAATGAGGGTCTCGGTCCAGTGCTAGCTATTGGCTCTCCCACAGGCACTGCAGTCTTTCAAACCGCTGCTTTGCACCCTCCTCCACTCTTCTCATGTTCAATCATATCAACTTTAAATTTTTTTCAATTATACTTAACATTCATATATTATTTATGTTTTATATTATATTATTTTATATTAGTTTCAGGTGTACAACACTGTAACTTATATAACTTACAAGGTGATCCCCTCAGTAAGTCTGGTACCCACCTGAGAGCATACATAGTTGTTACAACATCATTGACTCTGTTCTCTGTGCTGTGCTTCACATCCCATGACTGTTCTGTAACTGCCAATGTGCACTTCCCAATCCCTTCACCCTTTGCACCCATCTCCCGACCCCCCTCCCCTCTGGCAACCCTCAGTTGTTCTCTGTGTCTATGAGTCTGTTTCTGTTTTGTTTGTTCATTTATATTTTTCTTTAGATTCCACATGTAAGTGGAAGCATATGGCATTTGTCTTTCTCTGTCTGACTTATTCCACTGAGCATAGCATCCTCTAGGTTCATCCATGTGATTGAAAATGGCGAGACTTCATTCTTTTTTCAATCATGTTGACCTTTGATTCTTTCTCTCAGGCTCCAGCCCCCAAGTCTGCCACTTCATCCTGTTGTCACTGGAAACACAGCCTTTCCTTCAGCTCTCAGTCCCCTGGCCTTGAGCCTCACAGCCCTCTAATCCATCTTCTAATTCATCCCCCTTATCACCTTTGCTATGAGCGTTTGCTAAAATGTAAACTTGTTCTCTTGCTATAAATCCTTTGCTGACCGTGCATTACCTGCTGCTGTCCTTTCTCTGCCTTAAGTCTGGGGTTAGTTCTCCTTTGTGATATTGTTTCCTAGTTTGAAAATATCTTCAGCTATTCAAAGGATGAATGCCATATACGGTTGAGTATCTACTTTTTCATAACACGGACACAAATGGAAAGATGGCATCTGTGAAAGGTGGTAAGAAATGCTCACCAACAGTGAGAGTGTATGGCATTCACCACAGAGTTTGGCAATAGCTCTGAGTGTGGAACGAATATATTCTGCATAAATGCAGCATAGGGAGCGATCAGGTTCAACCCGGGTGATCAGGATCCTGAGGAGCTGGTGTTGGGCTGGGCTCTATTGATTGTGCAAACCAATGTGTAGGAAGTTGGCCAAATGCTGTGAGTGGTTGTATCTGAGCAATTAGGACAAGAGAAAAGTCAGTTTCCAGCCTCTGTTATCAAACAATTAGAGAGTGATGGTGATGTTTACAGAAAGGGGGAAGACTTTGACTACACTAAGGTGAGGTAAGGTGCTAGATATTATCAAGATGGTAATGGTCTTCACATGGATGTAATTATCAGTCAGGATAATTGGACAAGTGTCCCAGACTAGTGATAATAATAGAAGTCATCTGCATAGAGGCATGGATAACCCACATCCCAAGTGTTATGCATTGCAAAAAGAGGGCCAGGAGCACCAATGTGGTATGTAATTAAGGCCAGGGGGTGACCAAGCCTCTCTAAGTCTTAGTTTTCTCATCTGTGAAACCTAGACTCTTATAGCAACCTTATTGAATTATGCATGAATCAAATGAAGTTAATGTATACCAATTGCTTAGGACAGTGCCTGGCACATAGTATATGCTCAACTAATGTCTGCTCTCATGATGATTATCATCATCATCATATGATCGTGATCATTATCATTGCTATGATAATGTCAAATTCTTGAAAGTGCCCCCTTCCAAACATGTGGAACCTCTTCTACCTATAGCAGGTGTTTGGAGTTTGCTTACAGAATCTGACAGTTGCACCAGGCCCCTGAGCCCACACTCCTGAACCAACACAGCCCAGAAGGTGGGCCAAGCCCTATAACTGCACTCACCAGGCACAGCCAGGATCTCTTCAGCTCCTACTGCACCTAATGACCAAAAACCCATTGACTGGGCTCCTTAACATTCAAGTCTAATCACTGATAAAACTGTAAAAAGCAGTCGGACCACTCAACATTGACTCTGTGTCCGGCGGACGTCACCTGCTTCCTGGACTTCCTAGAGTCCCATCAGCCATGAGTAACAGGTCCGAGGGCATCGTCTTATGCCTCGCATTTGCATGGGAGTGTCACCAAGGAGGATCAGATGCCAGTCCATCCAATACATCACCTGCATTCTCTTTCTCTGATGGAGGAAGATGAGACACCGTATTGAGTCATGAACCCGGAAGTTTTCAGACAATGACAATGTCTAAACTGCGTTTCACCCAAGTTACAGGGCCCTGCGATGGCCGAGAGACATAGGGTCAGTAACCCAGGAAGGCAGCCCTTTTTCCTCCCTTTCTTCATCACCTGAAAGCTGACCCTGTCTTATCTCAGTTTCAGGGGTACCTGTGCAGCCTAGGGGGTGACCCAGCCCGAGGTCTGAATATGCCTTACCAAGGCTGGGCTGATGTGGTTCCCAGGTGGGCCTCAGACACCCCAGGACTTTAGGAGGAAGGCAGATGCATGGAAAACCATGGTGCGGACCAGTCAGTGCCCTTGACGTGCCCTAGGACGGCTTCACAGAGGAGGTGGGTCCTTCCCACCTGTGCCTACAACTCGATGGGAGCCAACCCTGGACCAGTTCCAAGAGCCCAAGGGCCTCAGGACAGCAGGAGACTCCTATCCGACTCCGTTTCCCCCTCTAGGTTTGTAATGAGCCTCCCGGCTTAGTGGGTGTGGCCTGTGTGGTAAGAGGCTTTGGCATGAAGCACTGGGAACTAGTCATGTTGTCATCACTGTGATATTACAGGAATTGCAGCCGTGGCTCACACTCCCCGTGCTGTGGACCAGGAACTTATAAAGTCCACAGGCACAGCTTCCCGGCCAGTCTCCCGCGCTGTGAGGCCGTCAGCATGAGGATCTATTACCTGGTCTTTGGGTTGCTGCTCCTGTGCCTGGTGCCTGCTCCAGGTAAGCTGGGCTGGGGTGCGAGGGAGGCGAGGGTGGAGGGCATGCCTATCAGAGCCGGTCCCTCCTCATTCCTCAGGACGCTGTAGATTGGGGAGATGTGTTGCACCAATTTTTGTTCCTGATAAAGATCAAGAACCTGAAAGCAGGTTCCCCAACCTTTTTTGATCCACTCTTTTTATTTCTGTGTTTTGGGGTTGTTGTTGTTTTTTTCTTCAATGTTATTTTGTATTGGTTTTAGGTGCACAAGACAATCATATTCTGAACACAGTAATCTCCTTGACGTTTCCAGTTCCCCAGCTGGCACCATACATACTCGTCTCAATTATTATTGACGTTATTTCCTAGGCTTTGCTTGCTCCCTCGTGACTGCTTTGTGTCACCAATTTGTGCTTCTCAGTCTCTTCTCCACTTACACCAGCCCCAACCCTGCCCCTCTGAACAGACTGAGTAGCTCCCAACAGCACCCTTTCAAGACTGTTATCCTTGTTAATGAGACATGAAGGAAGTGACACTGACGTTTTAGAACCAACAGAAAAAGTTGATTTAATCTGAGAACAGAAGCACAGACTTGCATTGTATTAGCTTGGTGGTGGGAGGGAGGGTTTTTGGGCCATTGCCCACCTTCCATGTGTCCCCTGCGGGTGCTCCCTGTGGTCACACTTGCCAGCACCATGTGGTCCACAGCTGAGCTGCAGCTCTTAGATACTTGGTTGACTGGATGGCTGGTGCCGCCTTCTACTTCACTCCCGATTTCATAGAACAAGAAAGAAAGATATAAAAACAAATCAGTCTACTTGAGGAATCACCACAACTTTGCATTTATACCCAGCCTTCCAAGAACCTTCCCATGTATTCTGTTCTCTCCTTGCAGGCAACGGAGGGATCATAAGCACAGTGCAGAGGTACTTTTGCAAAGTGAGGAGTGGCCGCTGCGCCTTGGTGAGCTGCCTCCCTAAGGAGGAGCATATAGGCAGCTGCTCGCTCACTGGCCGGAAGTGCTGCCGGAGGAGGAAGTGAAGGTCCCGAAACGTGGAGAATGTTGTCACGTGGGAAGATGCCTGCATGGAGTTTATAAAAGCAAAATTACAGTAAATATTTTTTCAACAAAAAAATCAGAAGTTTGATTGTGTTTATAAAATCCTAGTCTTTGTGGCTGTGGCTCCTTAGAAAGTGTTACTGATTCTCCTTTCATGCAAGTCACATCTAACCTCAGGGGAACCACAGGGGACCTGAGCTGAGTTTCTAAGGGTTAGTCCTCTTTTGACGATTTTATGCCCCAGGAAATGGGACTCTGTTTCTCCACCCGGCACAGCCCCTCCCCATGTAATCCATCTCTAGGATGTCAGTGCGTCCTTGGGGGCCATCTGAGTCCTTGTGAACACCTGACACCTCAGAGAAACGGGGACCTGGCTCTCCCTCAAATGCTCCTGTTTTCCTCTCAGCCATGCCTCTGCTCCAGCTGACCTCACACCTGACCTATCAGCTCTCTCCTAGCTTTTCCTCTAAGTTTCAGCCCTTCCCTTGGGAGCCATCTCAAATTCTACCTCCTTCTTGACAATGCAGCTCATTTCCCACACAAATGGGATCTTTCCTGTGATTTCACCACAGGGTTCTCACTGCAGGGCTCTATCTATGAATCTTGACAGATTTTTTTGCATCATATATGTTTGCATGTTTTCAATCTTTAAGTTCGACACAATTGTTAAAGGAAAGAACCTTGTCTTTAAAATTTTTTATATGTTTTTATGATTTTAGAGAGAGAGGAAGGGAGAAGTAGAGAGAGAAAAACATCGATGTGAGAGAGAAACATCGACCAGTTGCCTCCAGAATGCACTCGAACCCACAACCTAGGTTTATGCCCTGAAGGGAATCAAGCTGGCCATGGTGCATGAGACAACACCAACCCATTGAGCCACGCTGACCAGGGCCAGGACCTTGTCTTCATCAGCTCCGCCTGCCTAGTAAAGGGCCTTGCACCACAGAAGGATTACCTGCAACGGGAACTTCCTTCCACAGTTCGCAACTGGAGAACCAGGCACAGGTGCAACACAGGTGTTTCAGACAGTAGACAACAAGCAGTGCAGGGCTGTGATTGAGGAGAGACCGACAAATGTCTCTAGTCTGCTGGGTGCCAGGCCCACAGACCAGCAATCCTCCAACAGCAAGAGACATCCCTGTTTCCAGGGCAGGAAACCAGAAAGGGCCATCTGGGCGGGGGTGGAGCAGCAGGGGCCTGTGAATCTTGGCCTGAGCAGTGATCTGAGCACGCTTAGGTAAAAATTCAGAAACCAGAGGAAAACACCCAGCAGGGGTTAGACCAGGGGTCCTCAAACTTTTTAAACAGGGGGCCAGTTCACTGTCCCTCAGACCGTTGGAGGGCTGGACTATAGTTTAAAAAAAACTATGAACAAATTCCTATGCACACTGCACATATCTTATTTTGAAGTAAAAAAACAAAATGGGAACAAATACAATATTTGTATTTGCATGTGGCCTGCGGGCCGTAGTTTGAGGACCCCTGGGTTAGACAAACAAATCCAAGACCACACACAAGGCTGGCAAGAATGAATTACTACCAGCAAAGTGGAGACACCACGAGAAAGTCCTCAGAAAGAACTTGCATTCATAACAGGGCTGTTGAGCTCTAAATTAAATTGTTCTGGAACTGCTCTGACAACTTTTGTAAAACCATTCCTTAAAGAATCGAACTGATCTGCAAACAACTTAAATGTGACCCAGAATAAATCTAACATTCTTTGAAGGAAAACAACAAAGTCCATCACTCAACAAGATAAGCTTATAATAGACTGAATCCAATCAGAAATACCAGGTTTGCAACAAAACAGGACAATATAGTTTATACTCAAGAGAAAAGTCAGTCAGTACAAACAGACCCACCTGCCCCCTTGACAAAGATGATAGGATTAGCAATAGGGGCTTATAAGAATGGTTACAAATCTTATAAATGTCTGCAAAGTTTAGGTAAACAAAACAAACACCTCATCATGATGAGGAGAGAAATGAAAGCTATACAGAACCAAAACTAAATATCTGAGTAAAAATATACTGAATTGGATTAATGGCATATGACATTATGGAAGAAAAGTTAAGTAAGACTGAGCCTGTGTTAATACAAACAAATCTACACTAATAAAAGAGAAACATGCAAATTGGTGTCACTCCACTACACCCACCAGCCAATTAGATGAGTATGCAAATTAACCCAACAAAGACGGTGGGTAACTTCCATACACAGGCACGGAGTAAAGACTTAAAAAAACTAGAAGGAAGCCAAGCACTGCAGAAGGGAGTGAAACTGCGGAGAAGCAAGCAGGGTGGTGGAGACGGGAAGGAAGCAAACGAGACGGTGGAGGTGGAAGCGAAGCCCGCCTTGGTGGGTTTCACTCCCTTCTTTGCTTTGCTCCGGCTGCAGGAAGCCCTATTCTTGCAGGAATCTTCCTGCAATGGGCCTCTAGTCCTATATAATAAAAAGAGAAACATGCAATTAACCATCCCTCTGCTACGCTCAAGCCACGCCAACCAGGCACACCCACCAGCCATTCAGGGGTGAGTATGCAAATTAACCCAACTAAGATGGCCTTGGCCACGGAGCTGGAATGAGCAGGAGGCTTGGGTTGCCCCCAGTGATGGAGGAAGCCAAGCTTCCCCCCTGCCCTGGCCAGCCCTTGGCTCCGCTCAAGGCTACAAAGTTTCAATTAGAGAAGATAAATAAATCCCAGAAAAAAAAAAGAAGTTGGGAGCTTGGGTCACCGGGGGGGCATGGCCATCCTGAAAACAGCCCTCAGCCCCTCACCCAGGCTGGCCAGGCACCCCAGTGGGGACCCCCCACCCTGAAGGGGGTGTGGCCAGTCTGAAAATGGCCCTCAGCCCCTTACCCAGGCTGGCCAGGCACCCCAGCAGGGACCCCCACCCTGATCCACACACTTCAGCAGGGCAAACCAGCTGGCCCCCACCCGTGCACCAGGCCTCTATCCTATATAATAAAAGGGTAATATGCAAATTGACCCTAACAGCAGAACGATTAGGAATGACTGGTCACTATGACACACACTGACCACCAGGGGGCAGGCGCTCAATGCAGGAGCTGCCCTCTGGTGGTCAGGGCGCTCTCACATGGGGGAGCTCTGCTCAGCCACAAGCCAGGCTGATGGCTGCCAGTACAGGGGTGGTGGTGGGAGCCTCTCCTGCCTCCTCAGCAGTGCTAGGATGTCCGACTGCAGCTTAGGTCTGCTCCCCGCTGGCAAGTGGACATCCCCCAAGGGCTCCCGGGCTGCCAAAGGGATTCTGACTGCCTGCTTAGGCCTAATCCCCCGGGGAGCAGGCCTAAGCCAGCAGGTGGACATCCCCCGAGGGGTCCCAGGCTGTGAGAGGGCACAGGCCAGGCTGGGGGACCCCCCCCCGAGTGCACAAATTTTTGTGCACCGGGCCTCTAGTGAATAAATAAGGCAGAGAGAGAGAGAGAGAGAGAGAGATAGAGAGAGAGAGAGAAAGAGAACAGTTCATAGTGACCTGTGGGAAAATATCAAGCTGTCTGTGATATGTGTTTGGAGTCAGAACGAGGATGGGGAGGGAGGGTATGGTTGAGTAAAGACTGGCCTGCCATTTCCAAATCTGATGAGAATATGAACCAAAACATTGGTGCCCAGGGAAATCGTGCAGAATAAACACAAAGAAAACCACACGAAGCACATCATCATCACAGTGACCAGTGGGTCATAGAAAAATCTCAAAAAGTAGCCTGAGAGAAAGACACATTAAATTTAGAGGAACAAGAGAAGGAATTACAGCACACTTTTCACCAGATTCTACAAGATCCAGAATAAAATGTGGCAATACCTACAAGTACCAAAAGAAGAAGATCGTTGCTCTGGCCGGGGTGGCTCAGTTGATTGGAGTGTTGTCCCTGTACACCGGAAGGTCAGGGGTTCAAATCCCCATTAGGGCTCATACCTCGGTTGCAGGTTCCATCCCTGGTTTGGGTGCATGTGAGAGGCAAACCAGTTTATCTCTCACATCGATGTTTTTCTCTCTCTCAAATCAATAAACATCCTCAGGTGAGAATTAAAAAAAAATTTTTTTTAAGAAAGAAAAATATTGTCAACCTATAATTCGATACTAGAAAAATATATTTCAGACATAAAGGTAAAATGAACTCTGGGTGATGATGAAGTGTCAGTGTAGGTTTATTGGTTGCAGCAAGTATAACATTTGGTGGGGATGTTGATTATGGGGCAGAAGGTACACATGGGAAATCTCTGTATCTTCTCCTCAATTTTGTGTGAACCTAAAACTACTCTAAAAAATAAAGTCTATTCTTAAAGTAAGGTAAAACTTTTTTTAAAGTGTACAGTTTATTTAATTTTTTTTAGTATATTCACAGTTATGCAACCATCATTACTTTCTAATTATAGAACATTTTCATCACCCAACAAAAGAAACTCTCTACCCATTATTTCCTAAGCACTCCCCCACATCTTCTCAATAAATCCTTGGCTTCAACTAATTTACTTTATGTCTCTATGGATTTGACTCTTCTGGACATTTGGGTTGTTCTGGACATTCATAATAGTCAAATGGTTGTTTTACCATTATCAATAATGCTGCTATGAACATTCATGTAAAGTTTTTGTGTGAAAATATGTTCTCAGTTTTCTTGGGTATATACCTGTGAGCAGAATTGCTGCAACTTACGATATCTATATTACTTAACTTCCTGAGTAACTTCCAAACTGTCTTCCAAAGTGGTTGTAATTTATAGTCTCACTAGCAAATATGAGGGTTCCAATTTCTTCACATCACTTGTCAATTTGTTATTGTCATCTTTTTGGTTTACATTCTCCTAGTGGGTATAAAAGGTAATCTCTTTGTGGTTTTGGTTTGCATTTCCCTAATGACTAATGATGTTGAACAGTTGAATACATTTTCATGTGCTTATTTTATTTTATTTTATTTATTTTTTTTATTGCTTAAAGTATTACAAAGGGTATTACATATTAGTCCTTTTTTCCCCCGCTCCTTCGGTTGATCTCTTACTCCCCTCCCTTCTGCCCCCCAACCCTCTCTGGCC